TTTTTTTTTCTCTTTTGTCCTGTAGGCTTCAGCTGGTCAGCAAGGTCTTCCAGGCCCTAAGGGAGAAAAAGGAGAGCCGTCCTATGCAACAGGCAGAGGTGCTCGTGGGGACCGTGGTGCAACAGCACCCAGAGGACCCTCAGGCATCCCAGGAACTCCTGGCAGAGATGGACTTCCAGGCTTGCCAGGCCCTCCAGGCCCTCCAGTAAGTTCAGATTAATTTAACAAGAGTCAGAGTGCTTCAGAATTGCAGTAGGGAGCACAGGCAATAGAAATGCCTGGCTTACTGGTCCTGATTAGCCCTTTGTTAGTCTCTAAGTAGGTAAAAATGCTTTATGGATATGATAGCTAGCTAAGAGAAGGCCTGATGGCAGGAACGTAAAAAGACATGGCAGGACAGAGTGATACATGAAGAAGGTCTCCAGTGTGAGGTGACCACCATCATCTCATAGGATAATAATATCCTGTCAACTTTGTCGAAACTAAAGCAATTATAGTGAGAGGTTGCACAAAGAATTGACAATCTGGGGTGGAAGACAAGGGTCCTAAAACTTTCAGTGTTCTCTCTTGGCCTCAGAATACTAACAGCTCTTGTCTATAGGAATTGTTTTTATGACAGTAGTCATTCTTTAGCAGTGATAGAAGACTTCAGTGCTAATAAGGATAGAAAGTGTATTGGTTATGGCCTAGGATATGATATTTTCTTTGCTCTTGTTCAAAGCAAGTTTTGCAGCTCGTCTATAGCACAGCTTCTATGTGCTCTGTAGCATATTTCTGAGCTCCAGGGGACATATCTTTAGCAAACTGTGCCGCTTTCTACAAAGTTTTGCACAAAGTAAAGCTGATGGAAAAGGTCAGAAAGTGAGAGCCATGAATGGTTGAATTTTAAATACTCATCAGGATGGTTAATGTAGCATTTACGCATACTGGCAGCTAAGTAGTGTTGAGCAAGACACTGTGTTAAAGGAAACCTATTTTGAAAACTTTTGTTCCCTGAAAAGAGGGAACTTGAGGGAGATCTTGATCAAGATTAATAACTGGCATTCATTTGCCTCTCATTACCCAATCAAAAGATAAACTTACACTAGTGGGGCAGGCATCATCATTGTTTTACATTTTGTTCTAAAGGAAAAGCCACTGTAGGCATAATTGTGTGTCAAGTCTTCAACCAGATAAAGCACACTAGAATCTTTTCAATTCAAAAGAAAATATATAGTTTTCAGAGTATATAATGCTTACATTTTGGCAAATACAATATGAAGTATTGTTTCTAGTAGTAACTAGGCTTTCCTGCATTTTGAAATAGTAATGGATGTTTTACAAAGGTTTTCTTCTACCTTCCCAGCCACATCTGAAGCCTGCAGAGAACCATCCAAATCCATGTGTTTTTTACAATGACCGTGGTGTACATTCTTTCCACCTCTTAGATTTTCAGCTGCTTTTTTTTTTTTTTTTCCCTCCTGTGTACAGGGTGATGGTGGGCTAGGTTTCCCAGGTGAAAAAGGTCTGCCAGGATTACTTGGCTCCAAGGGCCATCATGGAGAGACTGGTTCTCCTGGCATCGGATATCCAGGTCCTAGTGGAACTCGTGGGCCACCAGGTGACCCAGGGATGGATGGTTTTCCAGGGCAGCCAGGTCTTCCTGGCGCTGCAGGTAGGTGTTGCTAGATCTGCTCTTATTTTTAAAAGATGCAAAGCTGCTACAAGTAAGATTACATTCAACATGCTGTGCTTGTAGCCAGGCCAAAACTCTGCATTAGATGTCGCTCTAAATTAACTGAAATTGCTCTGTGGGCTGGTCAGACCTCACACGTTAGTCCCTGCTTTTTCAGATTGTTCTGGTCAAGAGAGCACAGATAATAAACAGCAGATATTTGAGTGGACTAGTTGCATACTGATAGTGTTGGAGGAAGCTACTCACAGACTATTGCTGGAGAACCACTTTAAAAGTAATTAGAAAAACAGTTAAAATTTAAGTTTTTAAGACACACAGCCCACTTCACCGTCAAGTTAAAAACAGTCACTCACTGGTATTTGGGACTTCTAAATTAGTTTTCAAAACTATTCTTACTGAAATTAAAAGATTTAGAACTGAGTTAGTCTCAGTTGCTTGATCCTTCAGTGTTGGGCTTTTAAAGATGATTTTACCGAAAGCAATATCTTTGCTTTGCAGTTACTGCTAGATTTCAGTAAATTTTCCATGTGACTATTCAGTGTTCTAGATTTGTATTTCTGTCAGTAACAGCAGGCATAATATCATTGCATGTATTTCCCCACTTACAAACTGATGTTTGAGTTTAAAAATGTTGGAGATAAAAACCACTGCAGTATGAGGAGGTTGGCAGAGGAACCTTAAACTCAGAGAGAGGTGAGAGCTAGGCCAGAATAACAGTGGGAAGGTTGTACAAACATGCTGGATGGCATGTTAGCTCACATCGGGTTTTGTAAGGAGGCGAGGAGACAGCTGGCATTAACAGGCCTTTGGAACAGACTACATAAGCTTTTTTTCCAATCCAAGTCACATGCTAAATGATAAAAACTTTGCTAGTTCATAGCTAGGAATGCTTACATCTTTGCTTCGTAAAATGTCTCTTGCAATATCTGTTAAATCTAGATTGCATTGTAAGATAAGTGGAAATAAAATGCCCTGTGCATGAAAACTCTAGGTATTGTGGAGCACATTGCAAGTCAGCTTACTGTGAATGCTACATCACAGCTTTTCTAACAGTGAGTGACCTTCTGTAGAAGAGCATCTACAGTCACAATATGTAGGAAAGTGTGAAGTCATTAGCCAGTTCAGAGATTTGTGACAAAACTTGTGAATGCAATGTCTCCTCTAAAGGAGGAAATCATTTGTATATATTAAAAAGACCCTTTGATAATAACCTTCATATAATATTAAAGAATTATGTGTGGGTGGCAGAAATAATTCTCATATGGTGCATATAGAAAGGCCTTATTTGAAAATGAGGGGAAAAGTTTTAAAAAGGAACTATGACTTATTGAAGCTATTGTGCCAAAGACTCTGATAATGCCACATAAACTTTATTCCTCTTAAGAAGGGTTGCTAATATTAACAGATTCATCCTATGAGAGGTGGAAGTCATGCAAAGAGCTTTGCAGTTTCTGAATCCTGTTTGTTACTAATAGTCCTGTGGTTATTGCTTAGTCTGACAGACTGTAGAAGAAGCATTTGAAGAAACAGGCAGAAATTACAGTCCTCGCTATTGCACATTTCTCTAGCTAAACCTTGTGGGTGACAAGGGTTTTCTAACACCTATCTAAACAGTTTCTCTAAACACCTATCAATATTTTGTAAATAAGTATTTTATTTTGCATGTGTATATTTATTTTAGAATTTTACACTCTAATATATTGCTTATATAAAGCTAGGGAACATCCTCAGTTTTCCAAATTAGGAACATCCTCTCCTGCAGCCCTCAAAAACTTTTTGCCAGACCGTAACCTCTCTGAACTGCAGAGCTGCATAGTCCCTAGCACTGCGGGGACTGGTTATTGAGGGGCAGCTGGGGATATCATGCTATAAGTAGTCCACAGAGCAATTGCTGCCCTTTGCAGGTTACAAAGCAAATCAGTAGGAAGGCTGAGATTAGGCAGTCTCCAGGCTCACAGTACATTTTCTTTTCCTTAAAATTAAACCATCTGAGATGTCAACAGGATTTCAAGTACATAGGTTCCCCCACAATTACTTGTGATCTGTTTTTTAAAAAAGCTCTGGGTATGAGGTGTTCTCATGCTGGCTATCTCTCTGAAGGGAGTGTGTGCAATCTGTCTTTTAGGTATCACCTTGCCCTGTGTAGTTCCTGGAGCATATGGTTCACCTGGGACTCCCGGCTTTCCAGGATTGCCAGGTATGCTGACAAACTGTAATGCCTTGGCTCACTGCCAAGAAGCGCCTCTTCCTCAAGGAAGAGAGTATCTGTATGTTAATCCCCTCTGGGTGATGTATGTTCCCCTGGGTTCACTGACAGAAGAGTATTCTTTCTTTTCAAAGGGGCTGGGATTCAACCCTGTGGAGAACCATGCCTGCAGCATTTTTTCCTTTTCAAATAGTTTGTCAACACAAACCCTTTTCCTTTGTGTTCATGTAGCTGATGAAACAATCATGGATTTGAGATGTTAGCTTAAATAGGTACATCCAGTGAGTTTTTCAGCAAGAGAAGTTCTGACCTTGTGTTATGGTGCTATATTTGTGTCTTCTATTATTCTTCGATTAATAGGATTTTTATCCTCAGGTTCCAAAGGCAGCAAAGGCTTTCCTGGCATTCCAGGGCAGCCTGGATTACCTGGATCAAAAGGACAGCTAGGGTCTCCAGGAATAATAGGCTTGCAAGGGGGACCAGGTAAGAGGGAATTTACTGTAGTGCATTTTATTGTCTGATTGATGTCAATACATTCCAGGGCTGCCAGTGTTTTCTGCCCCACAGTGACAGAAGTTGTCTGACATAGAGGACAGAGTAAGAAAACTGTGATAAACATAATGTCTTTGCAGCTTGGGTGCTAGTGAAATAAGGCCTACCTGCACCCTGAAATGTCCATCCTTCATTTTCCCTTTTGCCCTGTCTGCCATCTAGTGAAACCCAGTGCTGAGGCTTATAATACAAGCCTCACAGGTACAAGCTGAAGCTTGTAGTTGCAGCTCCAAGGTGTTACTATACTATTGTTTAATTAAAAAAAAAGTACTTTGATATTTTGTTTTAAGCTGTTTCATCACTTCCTGTCTCTAGTCATTTTTTTTCTTATTCGAAACAAATATTTTGCAGGTCCCCAAACTTTTTTTCTTGCATGAAAATTGTGAAAAATGTTGCTTTTGTTAGAAATGTTACTGAAAGCAGATATCCCAACCTATTGCTGAGGAACATTTACTCTTTTACTCTCTAAGGCTTCCCTGGGCCTCGAGGAGAGCAGGGGTCACAAGGACTTCCAGGACTGGATGGGACAGATGGGTTGCCTGGCAAGATGGGTGCTTCAGGCTTAGCTGGAACTAAAGGAGCTCCCGGAGACGTGTTTGGTGCTGAGAGTGGAGCTCAGGGAGAACCCGGCAGACCTGGATTCCCAGGTGATAAAGGGCTGCCTGGGGATCTTGGATTTCCAGGACCGAAAGGTAAGGCCTGGTACTGTTTATTTCTGGAAATATCAGACTGTTTTTCTTTTCCCTTCTTTTTAAGATACTGTGCTAGCAGTCCTTTAAGCAGCTCACAGGTAGGGATTTGCTGGCTTTCTGTTAGAATCTAATGCAACTCAAAGGCTTTTATTAAAATGTGCTTTTTAATTAACAGAAACAATTTTGTTTTATGTGTTCTGTAACCTCTTGCCTCTCTGTTCCCAGGGGTAGATGGGAGACCAGGCCTCCTGGGCATTAAAGGCGAACAGGGTAATCCAGGATATACTGGCATCCCTGGATTGCGGGGACCTCCCGGACCTGGAGGTCCTTTTGGCATTAAGGGAAAACCAGGACCCATGGGATCAGTTGGCCTTGTAGGAGCACAAGGTATGTAATGTCTTCATACAAATGCAAGTAGCTGAGCTAAACACTGCAATGTCGAGGAAGTGCAAGAGAGATCTGGCAAGGAGGGAGCTCCTGTCCCTGGTTAGGGTTAACTGAGTGCAGAATCTGGGCCTTTCACCTCCAACTGTTAGACTTCTGCCTAGAAATGACGCACCTGGTCTATAATAATTCCTGTAATAAGGAAGACAGGATAAATGAAATGTCTTGATATTAACATTTCTACTTTTACATGCTGGTTGTATCGTTGATAAATCTTCCTTTTCCATTGTCATGATAATTAATTTCTAATGTGTGAGACTGCTTGAAATACAGCTTAGGCAGATTGGCTACTGGCTTTGTCAGCGCAAGCTTCTTATTCTGTCTTCTGCAGCCATGAGGGTGAAGGCAAAATTACTCCCTTTCTCTTTATGGAGAAAATAAACACTTGATAGAGCAGTATCTCTCAAGCCACATTGACTAAAGTGTTACATGACAGCAGCATATACAAGACTTCAGAACCAAGCAAGGAGAGACCTGGGAATTAGTGAATCATGGTCTGTGAAATAACCCCTTCCTTTTCACAGAAAGACAGTTCTGGAACATAGTGACAACAGACAAATAAATGAAAGCACTAACCCCATTTGAGATGAACATCATCGAATTAATGTCTTAACCTTTTTATTTTAATGTTAATATGTCTTTTGTTTATTATATTACAGTTTTAGGTTGCATGAGATATATGCCTTTTCCCTCAACTGTTTTTAAAAACCTTCAATTGCTAGGATGATAAACTCCAAATGACTAAGATTTTTGCATCTGTATTCTCTCTAAATCATTAATTTCTTTTGTATCCTTGTTCTTTCTGTTTACATATTTTATCTGTTTTTTCCTTCACCATGTTTCTATTTCATTTATCATCAACTCTCCATTTCTGATGTCACACTGTTTGGTTATGGGTTCTTCACATAGGCTGTCAAGGTGAGAAAATGCAGTGTAGCATAAAAGCTCATGGACTAACAACCTAGCTTTCAATGCTACAAGAATTGCATTGACTGTAGGTGATACCCCTTATTATTTCTAATCAAATCAGAAGACAAGGAACCATTGTAGTGAGAATGCTCAGATGGTATCAAAGTTTGAAGCCCAGAAGGAAATCCTTAAATGCATACATCTTAAGTATACATTTTCTTTTTCTTCTTAAATAAAGCAGCTGTTTCACCTTGTACTTAAAATATATTGTGAAGTATAGCTTAAAATGTCTTGGGTACAACAGAGCTCATATATTCAGTACTACTGATAAACATGCCAGAAGCCACTGACTTTTCTTTCTCTCTTCCTCACTTTGGATCTGAGCATTCTGTTTCCAATGGTTTGAGCATTTAGTTAAAATTTAGTTAAACAGCTACAAATGCACCTAGATACATTTTGAATCGTTCAGGGGAAAAACTGAATGCACATGGTGTTGGTTTTATGACAGCACAATCAGAAGCTTGTTCTATAACTAAGCAATTTGCTTTTGAGAAATAATGTTTTAACTACAGAGGTGGGAAAGAAACTTATTTTAAAAAAGCCTCTCCAACTGATCTCTCTGGTTCAGCCAGAAGATGCGGTAGGTAGTGGAAGTTGGCATTAATGATACTCCCCATCCTGGTTTGTCTGCCTGGATGATAAAGGTAAGACATGGTGCTCTACACCTAAGTATCTGGTAAAGGAGACAAAAAAAAAAAAAAAAAAAAAAGCATCATCATAAGGGGTTTCACTCTTGCTGGTTGTGTAGTGATGTAGGCAGTAACCTTCCTCATAGGTATTTTATTATTAGATGACTAATGCTTTTGCAGTTCTAAACTTTATGCCTTAGTAGGCTGCATGTGCCTTACAGTCCATTTGTCATGTTAAAAACAATGCTGTGCTTAAGGAGTTTGGAGAAAAAAAAGCCCACAAAAGTCCTCCAGTGTTTGTTTGAGATAGTCTATTAAGTTCTTGCTTATATTTATTCAGGACTTCCTGGAGTCAAAGGACTGGCTGGAGATATAGGTCCACAAGGCCCTGCTGGGATGAAAGGCTTCCCAGGTCCCGATGGTGCTCCAGGCTCTCCTGGGGAACAAGGATTCTCAGGTCCACCTGGACCTTTTGGTCATGATGGACGTCCAGGGTTCTCTGGGCCAAAAGGTATGAGTATCCATATCCATTAGGAGAACATATTATCATGCCCATAAGAAATCTTATCACGTCCGTAAGAAATAACAGTTGGCATAGATTTTAGTCCCTGCTTGTCAGAAGTGACAAAGTTCCAACACTAGTTGGGGTGCATTTGTTTCACTACTGAGTGTGGATTGTTAATAATGTATTTAACTGCTAGATCATGATTATGGCTGTCTTTATAAGACAAGGATCATGAAAATCAAGGTAGGAAGACTGGAGTATTGAAAAAATGAGGAATGGTGAATGAAAATGAAGAAGTAAAGGGAATATCATGGGCAGGAGAGCATGTAGTCTGAACGAGATGGGAAGTAAATCTTTGCAATATGTACAGCCATTCAGCACCCAATACAACAGTTGGTTATTTTGTGTTATTTTGAGGGAGAGTAATAGACCCATGTAATTGGAAGTCATTCTTTTGGAAATCAGTTGAGTTTTGCACTCCAGTGGGAGCAGGACCTTGCTCTTGATGGTAGTGCTGACTGACAGTATCATGAGAGAAGGTCCCCAGCAGCAGTGGTTGTGCTGTGCTTGCATCTTCAAGATTTTTTTTGCCCAGGTTTGGGTGGGTCTCCAGATCCATTTTGCCTTTACCTGGCAGCTAGGTGGATATGCAGAGTACCAGGAGAAACTGATTTTTTCTTTTTTTTCTCATCTTTTCTGTGCAGGTGAGAAAGGATCTCCTGGACTCCTTGGTTTTCCTGGCATGCCAGGCCTGCCTGGTGTCCCTGGGGTGAATGGGTTTAAAGGAACCACTGGCACAGCTGGAGGAAGAGGAAGCCCTGGGATTCTGGGACTCCAAGGTCAAAAAGGTAAGAAACAGCTGAATGAAAATTGCTGCCTATGTAGCAGAGGGGTTAGGAGGCCCTTTTGAAATGTATACATATTTAATGTTTTCTTCTAGACAGTGTTTTGTATTTTCCCCTATGAAATACTTTACCTGGTTTCCAAAGGTTCTGGGCATCAGTTGGTTATCTGAGACTCTGATATCTGGAGACATGAAAGATGCTCAGTAGTTCTGGTTTTGTCTGCCAGCTTCTAATGTTACACACTTTCTCTGTTAGACAATCTTATTGCATCTGACTTTATTTCTTCAGGTGACAGAGGTGATGTAGGTCCCCCTGGCATCCCTGTTCTTAGGCCTTCAGAACAGGCACTGCAATTCAAAGGAGACAAAGGGGAGCCTGGATTAGCTGGACTTGGAGGATTTCCTGGACCTAGAGGTATTTACTAGCGTTGTAATAAGTTGCCAATATTAGCTATTCAGGAGCTATGCTTACTCTTGGTGAAATGTGGTCTATCATTTTGGCAGAGCCTGTTTTCCATTCTGTCATTCACATTCCAGCAAGGTTTGCGTTTGGCAACTCTGAGTTGTGAGAAAACAGTTGTTGTTTGATGTTTTCCTCTGCGAAGCTAATGCCATTTCCACCTTCTCTTTAAAGGAGCGTGCAAAGTTAATTGGCCAAATGAGCCAAATATCTGTGTTATGAAGTGGAATCATATTCTTGCATGTATTTCTGCAGGTGACAAAGGATTCCCAGGCAGCCATGGACAGCTTGGTCTCCCTGGTCCAACTGGGTTACCAAGCAGAGAGAGTGGTTCTCCTGGTGACCCAGGTTTCCCTGGTCCATCTGGACGTCTTGGACTGCCAGGACAGAAGGGTTCAACTGGCATCA